TAATTGCTCAAATTGAAACAGTGACAGCAGCCACCCAGTGGGTCCATGTGTAAAGTAGATCATGCAATATTCAAGACAATATTTAGATTAGCTGAAAGAAGAATGTTCATCTCAGAAGAAGTTGCACTTGATGTAAAGACTTAGAGGTGGGAACCCAAGTATAATGTGTGCTAAGTGAATTTTGATACAGCTATCTGTCTGTAAAGGGCATTTACACAGAGGAGTAGGAGACAAAGCAAGAAGGTAAAGTGAAATAAAATCATTGAAAGCATCCAACCTCAGAATCTTATGATGGTGCACACATTCCTCAGAATGAAAATGGAATTGCTGATGGTTTATGAGATAGATAAATTGTTTGATTATTTCTCCCATTCGATGATGGCCTCTCAGAGGAGCACTTGTTAAAAATGTACTGATTGAGTGATTGAGTGCTTAGTTGATCGAGTAGATTAGTTATTGCCTGGGACCTAGAAAAATAGATGCTGAATAATGTTTAGGATAGACAAGAAAGAAGGGATGATAGATAATAGTAGTGATACTATGAGTGGTAAGGAAAACATGGGGAAGCCATCAGGAAGGCGTTAATATGGAAGGAATTGAGGAGAGACAGCCAGAGATGAATGAAGTGTCAAGTCTAAGTGACACATTCATTAGAATAACAGGAAAACAAGAATGGCAGCATGGTTTGAAGAGCAGAGAATGAGGAGACACACTTAGATAGACATCCATCAAGAAAACTGTGAGGGTGCAACAGAACACACACACAGACCCGCTCACAGGAGGCCCATCTAGCAAAGAGGTGGAGCATCAATTGAGGAAATGAGGAACTTTCAGAATGAGCTCCCTCCATCACTTACTATCACAGACTCAACAGAGAAAGAAAGCGAAGAAAATGCTTTGAGTTCAACTTTCCTCTTTAAAGGGGTGAATCCGGAGACACACAGAGGTAGGAAGCCAAGTGGCATCTTTGATCTTGCCACCCCCATCATTCTCTTTAGTTTTAAAGAAATGTCTCGTCATAGGCAGACTTTAGTGTGGATACTTTATATAAATGCCGAGAATAAATGTAGATCCTGTTCAGCATCATTCAAAACCCTTTTTCTTTTAATGAGACAACCAAAAGCTTTTGGAAGACAATATCATGTGACTTCTGCTTCTACATGAGCACACACACACACACACACACACACACACACACACACACATACACCCCTTTACATGTACTTAATGTGTAATTCTAGACACAGTGACACGTTCAGACATTTCAAACTGAATAAGTAAAAAAACAGTAGAGTTTTTCAAAGGATAACTTTTATTTACTTGATCTTAAAAGGTACATTTAACAATAAATGAGAAAGAAGAAGAGATGGGTTTTGAAGGTCAAGTTCAGCATTTTTTTTAATAAGGTTACTTCAACATCACCAAACAGAACAGCCTCCGAACTTTGGGCAGCCCTATTAGATTAATGCTAGCATCAACAGAAAGAACATGTACTATTGGTTAAGCATCCTTTCCCCTCAATACTTAAATTCCGCATGGGACAAAGAAAATTGAGAAGAAAAGAAAAGCTAATCTAATCCTGGTCACTATATATTTTCTTTTTCTTTTCCATTCTTTAATTCAGTGAGAATAAAGCAACAGCGAAAAGTAACTTTTGAGAAAATACAAAAAGAAATATATAATCAGTAAACATTTTAGGACTATTACAGACTAGAGTCGGAATTGAAAAACTTTTAAGAGCTATATGCCCAGTCCTTCATATACTCTGAAAGAAAATGTTATTTCCATAAAGCCTCCTTGACCCGTTCACATTCCTAAGCCAAACAGTCTCTTTTTCCTAACATTTCCTTTGATTTTACATTTCACATAAAAAATAGAACTTCTTGAGAAACATAGAACATTAAAATACATGAAAATTTTTTCTATGCTCTTTCCAGAAAACCTCATATCAGAAAAAAAGAAAGATAAGCTCACAAAGAGGAAGTATGAGCGGACCCAGAGAGGTGAATAAATTATTAGAAAATGTTCAATACCAATGAAAAGCAAGCAGGATCATGCCGCAGTAGCATAGAGAAGATACCATAATGTAAGGCTAAAGGAAACTGAAAGTCTTTATTATTTATATACTTGGCCCTTCCCAGAAGTCTGTGCCTCATTTCATGAAAGAAACCAAACCCAAATGTGTCTGGATTTGAGCACTCTTGGCACAGAAGACCTGTGGGCAAGGGACACTATTCTGGAAGGTTGTGTTTGCTTGAACAGTCTCAACCTTGTAATTTAACTCTGTTGTACACATCACAACATCCACTGTCAGGACAATATCCCTAAGCAAAAGTCTGAAGTAGTAAGCTCAGCAGTACCCATAATGACATGTAGTCTGGCCTTTAACAATCTCCATGAAAGAGCTCACTCCTCTCCATTTTTACAGAGTGAGGCTCTCTGGTCCTTAAGACCCATCCACACACACTGAAACTGAAGGTTTCACCTGTAGGATCCTTGCCTCCTGCAGGTTCGTCTCCATCTCATAGTGCACTTTCCAGCAATGCAAATTTTTGGCACAATGATTCAAAGAAAAATTTTAAAGTATAATTTTTTAGAAATCAAAAGTTTACTAAGCTCCAAACCTAATGAATGAAAAATGACCCAAATCACATCAGAATGCAATTTTGGTAAGAAGGGAGAGAGAAAAAAGAGTCGAGGCTCCAAAAAGAAATCAGATAATATAAAAAGCATGAAGAAACAAAATGACCCTGGACTTCTCAGCCACATCACTCACATCTCAGAGACAATAAGGCAATTTCTTTGAAATTTCGAGTGTATATGACTTTCAAATTCTAGTTGTAAATGCTTTCAAACTGTCAAGTAAACTTGAGGGCAAAGTAATACATTTTGATATGTGCAAGGTTTTAAAAATTTTCTACTTCATCCATTCTCCAAGAAGCTATTGTTTGGTCACCACAAGAAGAGAGTAAATAGAGAGAAAGGATCACAGTGGGATCAGTAAACAAAATCCAGAGGAGTAGAGAGGCAAAAGGAGGTCCTGGGATGAAGACCACATCCGCCAAGCTGGAACAGGGATCCAACAGAGAGCAAGGAGCCAGAAGGCTCTTGCTATTCCAGAAAAGTCATAGAACTGCTTCATTAACTGAAGTGGTTTAGCATTTGGTAAGACTGTATGTTTTTGTTAGGGAGTACAAAAAGAATTGTCACCAGAGTATAACTCATTAGTTAGCTCCAAGAAGATAAAAACTCAATATTAATTAAAGCAGTATTTACGAAGCCACAGTAGAAGAATAAGCTTATAGAAGAAAATTACAACTAAGAGAAATGGGTCAGAGATATGATGGTGTTTGTAATCAGCCTTGTAGTACTACTTGATTATTAAATTCTGTTCATCTATTTTATTAACAATTTCACAGTATTTTTAAGCAGATTCATTTGTGTGCCATAAAAAATGTGGATGATTATTTGTATAAATGTGGTGGCTTTACAGCTAGATCACGAAGATCTTGGCAGGCTCCACATGTTAATCATCTGAATTACTCTCGAACTCTTCACATATGAGACATAATAGGAATTGTTCAACAGAAGTTTCTGGAAATAATGCATATCATTATGTATGGTTCATAATACTTAGAGTGATACCTAATTTAAAATAGATGTTCAATAAGTAATAAATATAAATTCAGAAGGAGTATTTTTCAAAGTACTGAGAGTCATACAATAAGGCCAGCTACAAGTAATCTCACAAAGAAAGCATCTAGTAAATACATGCATCTGTGTGGTATGTGTGTGTATCATGTGTGTGTGAGAGAGAGATAGAGACAGAAAGAGAAAAGAAAGAGGAGAGATAGATAAATCACTGAAATGCCTTAACAATTATACTAAATAATCTGATAATTTAAACCATTTTTGACTAGGCCAAATCAATTGTCTATTCTTTGCCATTTTGATATTCCTTCAGATCACTGTTCTAGAAAATCAGAAATCCCTTTGGCTACTATCTCTCAAATGGCATTTAGAACATTATAAATCAATTCTCTACTAGATATAAAATAGATCCACTTCTGACTGCTCCTAACCCTATCCTATCAAAACAAACAAACAAACAAACAAACAAAAACGAAAGCTAAAATAACGTATTCACGTCAACCTGGGAATAGCTAGTGCTAGTCAGATTAGTCTCTGGGCAAATTAACAAGTTTTAACAAGCAAGCTGCTTATCACAAAGAGGTCAGTGGAGCTAGAGATGAACTTGAGAAACTAATTATTCTGTGACTGTTAATATAGGCAGTGAGTGATGGTAACATGGGTAAATGTAGACTGGAGGCAAGTCAGACCGTCTTAGTGCTGGAGAAAGAAGGAAAGAACGGAGAGAGGGAGGAAGGGAGGGAGGGAGGGAGGGACGGACGGACGGAGGCAATGTTGGGAGACAGGAAGAGAGAAAGGAATGAACTTCGGCACTGCAGCAGATATCTAATCATTTATAAATGGCTGCACGTCAAGGTTAAACCAGCAACGTAGAGATGGCCAGGTACTGAGTACGGAGTGTTGGTTTCAAAGACTGGGAACAGGGGGTAGCAGCAATGGAGAAAGACAAGAGGCAGAAGACAGTGACAGACAGTGTGTGGCAACCCAAAGCAAAGTCAGGAAGGTGCCAACCGAAATGGGAAGAAAGGAGCTAAAGGTGTAGGAAAGGTGGGATGTGTAGGGGAAGGGTAATAAGGGAAAAGAAAAAAATGTGAGATAATGAAAAGATGGAAATAAAGGGTTTGTAGATGGGGAGGGGAGAGGGGGTGAAGGGAGGGCAGGGACAAGGGGAAAAAATGAGAACCAAGACATGTCATGTAGAGGCACAAATTCCCAACAATGAATGTAACTGTAGTGTATTCCTAAAATGTACCAATAAACTCAATTAAAGCTGAAAAAAAAAAACTGGTGTCTACTTTGCTTTATTCTGAAGAAATTTAAATTTTTTTAAAATCTCCTTTTCTAGAAAAATTTATAAAAAGTGGAAAAGCCATAATATGCATTTGATTAGAGAACATGTATTATTAATCAAAACATATTTAGAAAGTAAAACAGTATAATAAAGGCAAGTCAATTATTCAGTATATATAAAATAGATGCATTGAAAAATCTTGGGACCAAAGTTATTCTTTAATAGTTGGTATCAAATTAGTTTCTGCCATTATGTTATTAGCTTAAGTGTCTCTATTCATCTAGGAAGTGAAGGGCTAGTTTTTGGCCAATAACCTCAAGTCAATCTTATTTCCAGAAGTTGATTATACAACTGGAAGTTATTTAGCAGTGAAGTCACTGTAGTTTAAATCTATCCTGGTATTCATGAATACTAGAAGATGGATGAGAGCCATCTTCTTAAAATGAGAACATTAATCCCTTAATATTTATTTAAATTAAAAAACAGTAACACAAATGCAGATTAGTTGAAAAAAAAGAAATTATGTCAAAAATTCAATACATGTTCTCATTGTAGATATCAAATTGAGGATGCAGACTAAAATACAATTTATTTTCGTTATCAGGAATTACAAAATGTGTATTCTTTAGTAGATGCTAATTACAGCAACAAGGATCAGGCAATGTCCTCAGAAATGTAAATTCTCACTACATCAGCACAACTACTGAGACATAACTGAAAAAGTAACCCTTATTTCTACTGGTCCATGAAGTGGGGGAGCACATCTTAGTTCCAGCAGTATCAATATCTAGACTGTCAATAATGCTGGTACTTGGTAATTCTGAGTAACACTGCGCTTTTACGGACAGTGGGGCAGGTGCCATGTAGTTGAGAAAATCATTAGAACTCACATGAAACAATTTGGCAGTAAGATAACATATGATGATAGATGCTATATATATAAATATATATATACACACATCCAATAACACATTTTCAGTCCCTATTGATAGAGATGAAAAAAGTACTCAATAAGTAAATAGAAAATATTTAAAATCAATTAAAGGATAGAGAGACAAAGGAATATGAGGTTGTATATTTATCTGGAACTTTGTGGGCTTCAAAGTTATTGTGGCTGTGGACCTGGCTCGGTTGCAAAGCACATGCTTAGTACTGTGTGTGCAAGGGCTGATTTCAAACCCCAACGATAACAACTATATAGATAACTATATGTATAATATATATAACACCATTCATGAGTATTAAATCTTACACTTTTCAAAGTCTTATCATGTAAGACTGATATGTCACAGCATGGATCATTATCACTACCGTCCATAGACAGGAAGAAGATTCTGTAATGTAAGGTGATTTTCTTAAGGCTACACCAAAGCCTAATACATTGCTTGAGTGGCCAAGGTTCCATTCACGGCCCTGCCATGTTACATCGTGATGAGGCAAGTGTAGCACAAGAAAAAGGAGAGAGAAATAGAATATTTTACAGCTCCTGGGACAACAGTTAAGTGATTTTAAAGAAATTTTCCGTCATATGTTCCATAGGGACGGAGGAAAGGAGGGGGCCAAATGGTCAGTTAGTTCGAAGGCATATTCTTTCTACTTTAGAAAAAGTGACCTGCATTAAAGAGTGTGCTGTAAAACCCAGGCGTGTGTATGAAGGGGATAGAGGATCCCTCGGTATAAAATGGAAGAAAAGGCTAAGAGCTGAAGTGGTTGTTGTCAATGTTAGTAATTTGGTTATATTTATAATGAAAATATGAAAAGCCATTGGTCTAACTGTACAGAGAAAAATATACTTTCTATGTACATACTTCAGAGAGTAGTCACATACATGTAGATTTCGCATTCTTGATAAGACTTTTGTCCTACATAAAACTGTAAAATTAATTTTCCTTTATCCTCTTTGTCAGACAAAGTCAGCCAAACACGTATGGGAAAAAATTTCGTTTTCAATGAATGCGATTTTCATTTCAAGAGAGGCATACTTTTTCATATTAAATGTATCCGATGACCGCACGGCATCTCCTCAGCCCTAAATCATCTTGCGTATCCTTCCTTCTGCCTTCTATTTGCTACCAAAAAGGTAAAGTCCATAAAGAACGCTGATGTGCTGGCAAGTGTGTGCTAATGTTCTCTCTCGTGTAGTTCTATTGGATCTGTGGACCCATATTGGAAATGAACTCTATTTTTCCTCCAACAAAAGCCATGAAAAATAACTTGAAGACTCACAGGAAACAAATATCCACAGTAAAAAGGTGACACTTGCATATAGTCACTTTCTGATCACAAGTAATCTTTCTGGAGAAAACCCTGAGAACCACAGGATACAAGTAGAGGTTGCAGAGTACACTCGTTAGAACTCACAGCATGCCGTTTCTGCACTCCTCAGTGCTAATGTTTGCCTTTCTACTGAGCAGATCCATCTCAGAAGCCTTCTTGGAACTGTCAATATAGTCATTATCAATTATGTAATGCTGGGGGAGTAAAGATTAATAATTCCCAGCTAAGACATCTCCATGATTGATAATCTCGCATGTAACTGTCTACAGCTAGCATTGGGAACCTGTCATTAAAAGGCATTAACTTGAGAAAATTAGAGTTCTGTATCGATCACCAAACATGTATAGTTTATCGTGGAGTGATGCTTTCATTTATATTCCAAGCAAGCCTCTAGGTAAATATCATTTGCACAGGAAGGTCTGCATCCTGAGGCTGTCTAATTCCACAACTTGACAGTAACTGCAGATCAACATCTTCTCTGACTCAGTGTATTCTTACGTAATAGGCAAAGAACAAGCCCAACACTGCCTGGGAGAACAGCTGGCACCATTATTAACCAAAAGGCAAGGTGCTGGTCTGTCTTCAGTGTGCAGACTGGGACTACTCGATGCCTGCAAGAAGGGTCTAAAGTAAATATTATACTTTTGTGCTTCTAAGTACGCAAACTGCCTTCTTGCCTTTTCGTTTCCTCTACTCTGTAATAGTTTACCTTTCTTAATAAAATTAGAAGGATGTTATTGAGTTACTTAGCCCGTTTTCTGTGTTTCTGCAAGAGAATTCTAGAGGGACTGTGATTGTATGGTGTGATCTCTAGGAGAAATGGATGTGAGGGTGAATTAATTCAGATAATCAGATTGTCAGCAGTGCCTTTGGAGGAAGCATCGTCAAGTTCTAAGCTGAACATCAGAGAAAGCTAAAAGGCTTTGGTGAGCTCTGTCTTATAGTAGGGTAGGCAGAAATTTCATAGCATTTGGGTTAGCAGTGGTTTTCAACCTTAGTTGCATCTCATAATCACCTGGGGAGATTATATAAAATGTTGATGTCTGAGCCTCACTCCATGAGATTCTAATTTAATTGGCCTGGGGTGGGCAATTAGACATTGAACATTTTTTAAAGTTCCTCAAGTGATTCCAATAGGAAGTCGATTTTGAGAGCCGCTTAGAGTGTTTAGTAAACACGAGTAAATGTAAGGTAGAAAGGATGGATCATGTTGAAAAGGAAAAGACTTGGTATAGACACACACAAAAATAGTGGATAAGGAAATTTTGAGCAGCAAATAATTAATAAATATGTAACATAGAAATATAGGCACAAAATTCTGTATTTTTTATATCAGTCTTGGCTACCTGGGAGAGGAATAGCAGAGGGAATGTGGTGTGGTGTGAGACAGCACTAGCAGGGCTCCTCTGCTCCTACCATGACAGCAAAGCACCACTGTTCACCTGGAAACCCAGCAGCTGAAGTATGTAGGTGAAAATGGTCTTATTTAGCGGAAATCAGAAAATGCTGCTCCTGTCTGTGAAGCATAGGGAGGGGTACAGGATAAAAGTAGGATCAGAAAATAGGATTTTGCAGCTTTGAGATTAGGACTGGAAAATCATTCTTCTAAAATACATCTTTGAGAAGCTGACAGACCATGTCTCTGTCCAAACTGTTTCACAGGACTGCTGGGAGGACGTTCACGCTGTCCAGTCTACCTTTCATCTTCACGTTCAGTCCTGGCTGTAAACAAAAAGGAGAGGGTGATATTAGGACAGATTGTAGCCAGATACAGTGCAAAGAGATAAAGGGAGATTAAAAGAGTGTTTTTAAAGGCTTAAAACCTCAAAGATAAGCATCTGACAAAGAGCATTCAAGACAAAGGACAATAGATTAAAGAGGTAGCTTTGATAAATTTTCATGCTGAGGAAACAAGAAGAATAAAGAAATAAACCATCTAAAAGAAGCCCAAAGACCTCTCTGCTTATGCATTATTAACTAAAGAAGGATAAAATAAATCTAATCTTGACAAATAGAATAATGACAGCTTTGATGTTTCGGTGCTAGTCAAAGATGAATGAAGAACAGTTACATTCCATATACAAACATATGCGTAGTGGGAATAAAATTACATTATGTGGGGCATTATCATTTTCTCCTGATGCAAATGTGGTACAGTCTAAATGTCAGTAAATAGTTCATGGTGGTGTATTATTCATGGATAATTGTGTTGCAACATATAGATGTGCTCACAAATAATTAAAGGTCTTTGAAGTGTCCGGCCTGACTAGATCTACCAGATCAGAGTTACCCTTGAATTCTTCACCTCCCAGTCCTTAGTATATCTAGCCAGTAATGAGCTTCTAGTTCTTTCTAGGGCATGAAAAGCCCATAGTAACAAACTTTACTTTACTTTCTCCCCCTTGTGAGAGCAATAATGTGTTTTTTAATCCAGAGCCTGCAGAGCCTTATTGTCTGGGGAGAAAATGTAATGGAAGAAAAAAGAAGATGGGCCAACATGGCCCCATCGAATAAGGTATTGGCCATCATTTCTTGTGATTAGATTAAAGAAATCTCAAGGCACTCCAAAGCAATTTATAGAAAACACATTCCTATTTACCTGGGGAGAAGTGACTCAGGTTACAGCCTCCAGTTTCCAGCCTCGGTGCCTTAAATTTGATTAATGGGGCATATTGCTTTGTATTCGGCTGCATCAGGCCAGGATATAATGAGATGAGATATTGACAGGACTCTGCTATTTCAGCAGCCAGTTCACATGAGAGCACTAGTTCGAAAGGAAGTGAACTTGATCTGAATTCCCTCCTAATCCCTTTCCTTGGAACCAGAGCTTGTGTTAAGGAGGTCTATTTCCATTTGGTATGTGCCTTACCTTTGTCTTGATTGTCAAAGAACATTCTAAGTGGGTCTCAATCTGCCAATCCAAGAGGAGATCTCAGTTTGGATTCAGTTATCCCTTGAAATCTTAAACGACATTTGTAAACAGCCACTCCCAAGACCTAGCATTCCCACACTCAATGAAATAATGACAGCCTGTATTTATTGAACACATTATGGAACAGAAAAATTAAATCTTTCATTTCCTTCAACTTTTTTATGCTCGTAAGAAACTGTGACAGAGTGATAAGTTGTTCCATTATACAAATGATAAAACAAAGGCCTTTCAATTGAGTTGCTTTATCTTGCTATTAAATAACAGAGTAGCATTCAGTTTTTTCATTTAATACATATTTCTTCAGGAGCTACAATGTTCAGAGTAAGAAACACAGCAGTGAGAAAGGTCGAAAGATATCCTCATGAGGTTTGGTTGGAACGAGGGGAAAAGCAAAGCATATAAATAAAAATGTGGGCAAATTGTGATGTCATTAGATAAGGGGATGTCCTCCTCCAACAAAGGTGGTCAGGAAAATGTTCCTGTACTGTTGACACAGACCTTGCGTCTTGAGAGTAGTTAGCCAGCCCTAGACAGGAAGGCAGAAGTTGAACTGGAACCTGAGAGTGACCCCAGCCTGCCTTCCGACAACTTTACTGCAGCATCTATCTTTTGCCCTTCTCTGGGACAAACTGTGGCTTTCCTTTTTCTCATTTTATGGTGAGCACCACTGCCCCTACCTCAGAACTGAATACAGCTACATCTTTTACCCACATGAACACGCCTCGGGTCCAAGGGAAGAGGACACCCCTTTGAGGTGTGTTTCCCCAAGGATGTGAATAACTTCATGACTGCATGGAGTCTTGTTGCTGTGGATGCTGTTTATCGTTTGTATCTCTAAGTTCACCTTTTCTCTTGTTTCCTTTCTTTCAGCATTCAATATCTCCAGGTTTCCCATACCTTAGAACGACCCTTAAAAAGCCATCTGTCCTCTAGATACAGTCCTTGAAAATATAATCTGTGATTTCTTTCTTCCTACTGTCATTCCTCAATCACTTCATGGGTCCTGTGAAATAGTTTAGCCACCTTCCTTCCATGGAACACAAAAATGTTTGGTGTTGTTACTATGTAGACAGCATGTTGACATGTAAAAGAACACAGGATTTGGAGTCAAACACATGGCTTAGAGACAGAATTCTCTGCCTTTGGCTGAGCAAATGTGGCAAAGAAATTTAGCCTCTCTAACTTGAGTTTATACCTCCACAAAAGAAGGAAATGATAATGTTCCCTGCTTCACAGGTTATGGGTAGAATTAAATGCAATACATAAAGCACAGCACAGAGCTTCACATAAAAGTACAATGACCATTAACTATCATTTAAGCCACACTAACCAAAGTTACTAAGTGATCGACTAATTGCTAAACCCAACGAGATGTTTTCATGTTCATTCTCATGTAATTCCCTTTTGATATCTGACATTACCAAACTCTACTCTCATCTTCAAATTCCTCATAACCTCAATAACAGCATTTTCCCAAAATTCCCACTCTGCCCCATGTCTTTTCCTTCTTTGTATCTCAGAAGATTCTTCTTTCTCTGCTTCTTCTTATTCCTTTGAAATATTTATTTTGTTATACTAGGCCTCTCCTCTGGTCACTCATGTGGTCTCAGATGTCATCTGTATGCTAATAACTCATAAACCTAACTTTCCCATGGAAGTTTCTCTGTAAGCTGTAGATGGACACATATATGGCATGATCAAAATATAAGGTGTTCACAATTTTTAAAATGTCTTATGTAAAAGACACACTCTCATTGTTTTCACTCAAAATATTCTCCCTCGCTTGGAAGACATTTATTCCACCATTCCTGTCACTTTCTGCAACAGTTATGGAACGCCTGCTTTGTGAGTGTCTTTGCTAAGTATAATTTAAAATGCAGTGCACGCCATGCCAAATGCTACCCAAGAGCAAAGGGGGCCTGTAAAAACTGTGGTGTCCCCATCCATCTTAGTAACCGGTTCTGACACCATGTGACTTCAGGCTCTTCCCCAATGTCAAAATGACGATGAAAGGTGAATATTTTGAATTGGTTTTAGAACACTGAGGCTGCCACCGCAGCAGAACTACAGACATTCATGAAAGAGGAAAGCCAGAACTACTTTGGAAAGTGGCAAGATTAATGGAATGTGTGTTCAACTCAAGGGGTAGTATTTTGTGGGGTCTTAACAGCTGTGTCTCTTCCAGTATAATGATTTTTAAATTTAAATTTCCGCCATATTTTTCAGTCTCACTACCTGTATCCATCTGCTTGTAGGATTCTTAACCTTCATATCATCTAGGCACCTTGATGTCAGTGCTGATAAAACTGTCTCTGTTCCTTTGTATCCCCTACCTCTTCCTGTGTTGCCAAGATCCAAGATCTACCTTATTTCCCCAGATGAGATATATCTAATCTATATGTACATCTATCCTTAGTAACCGTAGGCTTCTTGCCCGGTAGGTCCAGGACAAACACACAGGTTTCTTGCCTCCCAACCCAGTGCATTGTAGTTAGCAGTTTTTTGCCTATATTTTAAGCAACTTTGAAACAACTTCACTTAATTATCCTGTGATGGTTAATTTTATTTGTTAAATTGGTTAGGCCATGTAGCTTTTGCTCAACATTAGTCTAGATGTTGCCATGCGGGTAGGTTTGTTGTTGTTGTTGTTGTTGTTGTTGTTGTTGTTGTTGTTGTTGTTTTAAAATAGGATTAACATTTAAATTAGGAGTTGTTTTGGTTTGCCATGCGGGTAGGTTTGTTGTTGTTGTTGTTGTTGTTGTTGTTGTTGTTGTTGTTGTTGTTGTTGTTTTAAAATACGATTAACATTTAAATTAGGAGTTGTTTTGTTTTTGGTACTGGGAATAGAACTCAGAATCTTGCACTGATGTGGCAGGCGTGGTACCACTGAGCTAAATCCCTGGCCCAGGAGTCTTCCAATAAACCAGATTAGTCCCCAAAAAGTAGGTGGACTTCACCCAGTCTATTGATGGCCTTTAGAAAAAGGACTGACATTTCCCAAGAAAAAAGAAATTTGGCCTCAAAACGTTCTTTATTTGTACTATGTAGAGTAAGTTTCTCATTCTTAAAAAAGGGGGAAGGGGCGCCTCCACTTTTCCGTTCCCCACTCACCTCTCCTCACCTGCTTCCTTCTTCACTACCTTTTCTGTTCTCGTTCCAACTTACAAGCAAGTGCCAGTTGTCTCACTTACCCTACTGGTTGACAAGGATTTGCAATCCAAGTATTTTAGGCTCTGGAGATAAGAAAACAAACTCAATTGCCATCCTGAGATCCAGATGGTAGGAAAAAACTTAAAACCTAATAAATCACAATTTTGTGTCTTTTTTCCCTTTCATACTTTGACTTGATTATTATATCCCAAATTGATTAATTTACCATCTATCATTGCTCTCAAGTGATAAGTTAAGGATTGCAAGGGCTTTGCATGTCACTATCAATTTGAGTTCTCAGAAATAAGAGACAAAAACCTGATTTGGAGAGAAATCTCTATGGGATTAATTAACTCAGCAAAGGCATTTCCAGCACCGGGTGAAGGCTGGATGATGGACTGAAGAGAGAGTTCACTCCCTGTGTGCCACTGGCTAAGAAATGTAATTAATCTAGCCTATCAGATAAATACTTTAGAATGTAGAAGGAAGGAAAAAGCCCTATGTTTGGTGTGTTGCTGCTGTTTTACCTTCCAACCAAAACTACCGCTTCTCCTCTTTCTTCTGTCCGTCACGCGTACGAAGAAGTATAAAAGAAGGGGAGTATTGGTGTTACACTTGGGGCTCTAAGACAATAGTCAGTGATTCTACTCACATTTGCCAAATTGCTAGAAATTTAACACACACACACCTGCTTTGGACTTCTTCTGTCTGGGTTATAGGGAATTACAGTGCAGTCCAAATGAGCCTGGCTTCTATCCACTCAGGTCATTGTTTCAGGAGCTTAAACTTCTCCCCGGAAGTCATGCCCTGCTCCTCCGAATACTTGACCTGTGGGAATGAACACACAAAGGGGAGTAGAAGACATCAGTCACATTAAAGGGTAAGTGATGTGATGTTACCTGCATCTAGCAGGGAAACATCAAAGGGGCCCACAGAGGTCATCCCCCTCCCGCTTCTTTATTCAAATGTTCTTTTTAAAAGAAAGTGGTCTGAGTTACTCAGCATTTGATGAATGGTAAAACATTGCATTCGATTTTCCTACCATCTTCCCTCCTTCAACTGTACATTTTTAAATTTTGACAATCTACGAGATACCAACATTTCTTTAAAAAATTAATTGTACTGGACAATTTAGTGGATCTCCCTTTCTGTGGTGTACATACTACCATGGAGACTCATACTTTTAGAGAAAAAGTTGATTTACCTTTACAGGAAAAGAATCCCTCTAACTTTAAAGAGCATACAATATATTAATATTTACAAACAACAAGTATGAGGAAAGGACACATTAAAGAAGTAGATGCATGGGGATTCTTTAAAACTCCAGTCTGGATATAGTTTTTTCTAAAGCCAGAAAAATGAAGGAGATATTATTATAATCTCCCTTCTTGTCCTACCATTCTAAGACAGAAGAAAATACATTGGTACTACAAAAAATGGCATTTTCTTGAGTAGAATACTTGCCAATGAGATGAAAGGCATGTTCCAATATTATTGCAGGAAAATAACATGTTTTGCTCTATCTTAAAACATTAATAGATATTTCATTAAAAGTATGACTGAATTATTCATTAGGTATGATACACTTAACATTTCAATAATTAACTGCCCTAGCAAGGATAGAAAGACTGTCCTAGGATAGAAAGACTAATTTCTCCATTTATTTCCACCCTTTAAAATGTGTCATTGTCTTTGCTATCATCTACATTTACTTAAAAATGTCCCAGTGAACAGAAATCATCAAGAATTATTTCGAAGCTGGGTCTCCAAATGAAGGTTTCCTCTTCTTTCTTTGAAATTACCCTTGAAGGACAGGATGAATTGTATATATATCCCTTACCTTTCTTTTTCCCTCTCATCTCTTTCTTTAACACCCTCCCCATCTGCAGGGCACATAGAGCTTTAGAGGAGTCAGGGTACTGAATAGTTTAACAACACACAACAATACTAATGATACACCTGTGATCTTTTTCCTAATAGTCGCGATATACATAAAAGCCAGCAAATTTATACACACAGAGGTGCACAGACAGGCTACGTCATCAAATAACACTACCTCGACAATGAGACAAAGTTATCTGAGCCACTGATAAGTTATTTTTAGTGATATAAGAAGTTTCTTGTACATTGCTGAAGTTCACCCAGCCTGTAAGTAGAGCTCCCTGCAGTAAATATGATTCTAAACTTCAATCATTAATTCTATTTAGGCTTAATGTGTCATAAAGCTAAGGAAAACAGGGCCATTTTCTTCTCTGCTGGGGCACAAAAAGTGTATTAACTATTCCAGCCAGGACTGTAGATGATTTATTAATTCAATTTTGGAAAGTGAAACTGTCAATTCCTATAAGCACATATTATAAACAGACAAACTCTCAGAAGATTCTTACTCCTCATTCCTCCTCTTAGATAAATGACTGACACTGTACCTCACTGCTGAGGTCGATTTGTCTCTCCCCCTCATTTTCTGCCTTGCTCTCTCTCTCTCCCTACCCCCAAACATACATTAGTTGAATAATCCAGGGAAAATATGTTCTCATACTTGAGAGAATAGGACTAGCTCTGAGCATAAACTTGAAGCATCTGGAATGGAAGGAAAGAATTTTTTCAAGCACAGACCTAAAAATTACTGATCCAAATATGACATGGTAAAAGGAATCTAGGTGTAGGTTTCCTGGACTTTAGACTGGGGTTTCTCATGAAACACAAATGACCATGAGCAACTCACTATGTCCTCATCTGCCAAGGGAGGAGCTAAGATCTCTTGGTGCCTTTCAGCTCTAACTTGTCAAAACGGTAAGTGGGAACATGAGTAGGAAGAAATAATCCTAGTCTAGGCTCCACTCAACAGTACAGCTGTCCTCTCCTTAACCAAGAATATAAGACAATCTCAATGTCCAGTTCATCCTTCCTGATTGAAAGAGTGAGGAGCAAGTTTACATCATCTAACCTCAAGACCCTGACAGTGGGGCTGTGTCGGAAGGTGTGTGTGTGTGTGTGTGTGTGTGTGTGTGTGTGTGTGTGTGTGGTGTTTGGGGGTTCTGAAATAATTTTGGTCAACTCTTTACATAAAAACTTCAATCTTTTCTGCAGTGTCATTAAATATATGGAGGAGATTGCTTTTATTCCAAGCAGAGCTCTGAAAATTAAGAGAGATTATTTTAATCATGTGATGGTGATTCATTTCCTAAGATATTCAGAGTGTGATACATACGGGTGAAATCAAGAGATAATTTTCAAGATCAGAGATCTGTTTTTAATTTTCCATCATGCTGAAAGTAGGTTCACCTGTTTCCTAACCAAATTATGCTCCATGGGAAATGTTTATTCTTTGTTCCTCCTAAAACTTTTTATGCAGAATATTCCCATTTATGCCTCAGGCAAAAAAAAAAACTCACCTGCAAAGCAATTAAAGGAAATAAAGAGGAGGGAGTGTTGGAGAGGAAAAAGTGAATCAAACTTGGTTTTGTAAAAGTAGAACTAGAGTACAAATTCTTCAATATTAAAAGTCATCATTTATTTTTAGCAAAAGCTGTACCAGCTATTTTGTGTGCAAGAGATATTTGAATTATTATAAAATTAGGTTCTGCAATGCATACAACTCTTTTCCTGCCTAAGGCACACATTGCAGGTATCATGCTCAAAACTACTCACACGTTACATTATGTCCCAAATATTGCAAATGCAAACAAGGTGGTCAGTTTCAATATGACTAGAGCCACACTTAATAATGTCACAGGAACTGCATTAGAATATAGTTTCTTAAATTCAAATGCAAGATTTATGGCTTCCATTTTTTCATTGTATTTTTTTAATATTTTGAATCCTGTTATTTGAATTGTGTTTCCCCCAAAGTTCCTAAGTTTAAATCTGGGTCCCCAGGACCTGTAAATGTGACTGTTTAGAAATAGGCTCTTTGCAGATGCTGTATTTAAAATGAGGTCAGCAGAGTGGACGTCCAACGTATTATGCCGTTGTAGTAAGGCATTTGGACACAGGCTATCTATGTGAAGATGGAGACCGAGAAAGAAATAATATTTCTACAAGCCAGAAATTACCAGCACACTAAGCAGGGGAGAGATGTAAAACAGATTCTCCGTCAGCACACTCAGAAGGGGCTCACCAACACATTGGTCTTGGAGTTTTAGCCTCCGTAATAGTGACACAATAAATTACGGCCGTTTAAGCCACCTAGCTTGTGTTACTTTTATATGGTAGTCCTAGGACACTAATGCAATGACTGTATTTATTGTGTGCATGTTTGCTTGATTTGCTATTCATTCAAACATTACAACACTTTGAATGCTCAAAATGAATCACGGAGCCTGGAAAAAGTGATTTCGCCAGTGTAAGGAATTTTAGCTCAAATGGTGGAGTGTTCTTTTTGTTGTCTACACCTCTGCCCTTTTCCCCGTTGCTGCAGGTTCAGTCTATTAATTTGTGGCCACAGCACTGCGCCCATGGACTCTAACAAGGAATTTGAATGAACTGTCAATTGGAGAATAAATGGCCCCCTTACAACCCATGTATCATTTGTGCTCTCTCCCCTCCTCCCACTCTCTTTCCCTTTCCCAGTTTACCCTTCAGATTTCTTTCTGCATCAACAAGATTTTGGCAGCTTGCTTCAGGAGAGATTGGCCCCAGTGTCTCGTAGGCAGCTGGTCAGTTTCTCAACTTGCTGCCATGCGTTTCACAGCCTTGCGTGTAGAATACAAAATGGGTTCACAGAGGGATAGAAGGAGGCATCTGATTCCACCTCATTATTTAAGGCTTTGGAAATATGGAAGATGGACTTGTTGAATCCCTGGAATTCTTCTGCAGATGTTTTCCTACTTCCTACAATAAAAGATTGCAAACCCCCAGGTCACCTGTATCATGTCCTCTGTCATTTCCTCAGAGACTTGTTGGGTAACTCCATAATAACAGCACTCTGCACACTTTTCTATTGTCTACACAGAACACAGATAATTAAGTGTATGTTTCTATCATACTCCATTTGTATGGGGTAATAATGCATGAATTAATATCTTCAAAGATTCCACTCATAATAAAGATAAAATGCATAAGAGTTGATTTATATCACCTGCTGCTGTGACTTCCAGCGTTAGACAGGAGGGGTCAAGAGCAAGAAAAAAAACTTGAAAATGAGAAGATTCTTCACCCATGTTTTTATTTCCAGAGTACCCTTGCAATGATACACCGCCGTGGACAGATTTTGACTCGTTTTCAGACTTTCCTTCACAATCTCTTCACTGCCCTCAACAGAAGGACAAGTTCTACAAACAGCATTTTTTTTTATTTCTCCTATAAATCTACTGACCGAGGCCCAGATTTAGATGTAGTTCTTACCACTGTTTTTCATCCAGCCACAGCTGAGATCTAATTACATAGGGACCCTGGAGCTTTGCCTTAATGCTGTAAACCCCAGTGAGATCAGGCAACTGGCTGTACCCCCAGTGTCCTCTTAACAGTGCACAACATCTTCTAAAAAGAGGTGGACTCGAGGGTATTGAGTCTCCTCTAAGATTGTTTATCCATCAGAAATCCTACTGGAATTACTTTCATGAAAAATATAAGTGATAAAGATAAAGTTGCCATTAGTATTTACTCTCAAACAAAAAGAGCATAGAAATGTTGTAGGATGAACAATGTTTTCATAACATATCTTTGGGGCAGATTCTTCCTTTCTGAAGGGTAAGTGGAAGGTATGTTTTTGCAGGTCCTCTCCATACATAAACATTTCGAGTCACTCCAGACCACTCTGCTGGCACCTTTCTGATCCCACAATGCCTCTGGATAAACAAAGCAGGTAGCTTCAGAGAGGCTATTTTGCAGTAATGACATAGTTGTTGGGTTGCTGGAATTTCTCCAGGAATCTGGTTGACCCCACAGAGAATTAGAGAAAGGATTTGAGTTCATAAATCCTGCATGGAAAGCACTATCACCCTGATGTTTGGATACCAGGCAGGAAGACTTGGAAAATTTCAAGGAAAGCCTTCTAAAACATAGGAGGTAGTAGGGGACACCCAGATAGATTAATATCTGAACCAGTTTTACTAGTGAGGCATTATTCAAATGTGTGTGTAATATCTGAAAGAAAAATTTGAAAATATTGTTTGATATTTAAGTAACATTATATTGCAGTGAAAGGGGGAAATCATTTTTATTTTATTAAAATACATTATCTGAGTGCTGTTCAAGTATTTCAACATCCATGCTTTGTTACAAATGCATATACTATTCTATTATTTGAGAAAATAAGCACTTAAATCAATGACTATATATAATTAAATTATTTATAGTTTTTCATAAAGTGGAAATGAAATGTTTGAATCATATCAAATATTTGAACAATATATGTTGATGTTAAAGTGGTATAGGAAATGGGCTATTTCTGTAGAAGTTTACAAAATGCTGCAGTGATTATATGTGTTTCTACAGCTTCAATATTTTACATTATATGGTAAGTTTTAGTCTTCACATAAATTTTGTCCACTTTATTTTTTCTTGCCATGCATTAACTGTGTACACTAAGGAAGCTTGATGTGATATTTCAGCATGTCCTTATAGCATATACTAGTCAGATTAAGGTCATTAGCTGAAGGCATTTCCCTCTGCCTATTGTTTCTTTGTGTTTGTAGTATTCAAGACTTCAAAATGTGCAATAAAGTATTATGAACTGTACTCACTCTCGGTGCTACTGAACGCCAGAACTGATTCTTTCTCTCTAACTATGTTTTCGGACCTGTTATTCAACTCTCCTTTGTCCATGCCCCCTCCACTTTCCCACTCTCTACAAATTGTCATCTGCACTCAGGTTGGCTTCAGTTTTTAGCTTCCATGTATGAGAAAGAACATGTGCACTACTTGTCTTTCTGTGTCTGGCTTACTTCACTTGGTGTAACATCCCCCTGTTCTGTTCACTTTGCTGCAAATGATCCATTTCTTTTGTTTGTCCATTGTTAAGGAGGAAGAGTCAGTCCAAAATATTTTCATCTTCAGCACGATGGCTGGAAACACAGTATAGAAGGCTGAAAACTATATTAGAGATAATTCTAAAATATATATTTGAGGAATAAGGGCATAAAGGATATAAAGCACCTATCAGAGGCCAAATCGAGATGATACCTAACCAGGCTATGCACAGCAACCTGATAAATCCACTAGGGACAGGTTGACAACAACAGCAGACTCAGGAGCAAAGGGTATGGGTTGGGCAATGAGACCTGCACGAGAAAGGTCTCCAGACTATCCAAGACAAAGTGAGCACTCCCTATAAAGCCAAGACCAAAGCGCTGTTTTCAACTGAAATGGGAGGCTGGGCAGCTGGGAGGCTGGGAGGCTGGGAGTCTGATGCACAAAAATTGCAAACTTGAGCCCACTCAGCCTGGGAAAATTAAGGAGATTCTGTCTCAAAATAAAAAATAAAAAGTGTCAAAGCTATACCCAGTGCAAAGACCCTGGGTTCATCCCTAATACCATGCACAAAAATGTACATATATAAATAAAATAAAATGATAATGATAATAATCAGCAAGGAAATTATAAGGAAGATTGCTTGCCTTTGCCTAGACTCCGAGTGTAGAAACAGCAACAAAAACAACTCCACAAATATAACCACAGGCTTGGCCTCACTTGAGTGCAAGGTTTGGATGATGTTCATGCTGTTGTCTCCTCTCGAGTCTCAAAGCCTCCAAATTTGAATCTTAAATTTTAAGACTAGATCACTTGGACTTATTTCTTCTTCACGTCATGTTCATACTCTGGTATTTTTTCATGGTTCTTGAAGAATTCAGCTACCTGAATATCCAATTTTACTTTCTTCAGGAGCAACTCTACCCCAATCATAATTCTTGATGACTTCAAAATACATATGGTATTTTCAATGTATTGTCATTATAGCAGTGTAATTCCTTGTTTGTTTGTTTTTTTTTTGTCTGTAAGTGATCTTTTCCTTCTACCCTACCTCAGCCACACACTCCCATGTTTTTACCATGTGCCATCTCACTGGTAAATGAATAAATAATGAATATTTCAGAATGACTATTAACAATGTGCAATATAATTCATAGATTAAGTAATTCAATATGATTTAGTCTATATGTTAATTTTAATTCAGAATTAATTCACAGTAAGATTTGTCATGAAATTTGACCAGCTATATGCCAATAGTACTCATGATATATTCACAGCATAATCCAGGTAATTTGGAAAAATGAGTCAGAAGAAAATGTCTAATCAAATACCCAGTTATTTTAAAGTTATAATAATTAACACAATGAAGAATCAGGTCAGCAAAGTAGAAATAAGGTCAACAGAGAAAAAGACTTTAGAGCCAGACCCAGAACATAAGAAAGCTTGACCCATGGGACTGGCAGTGTGGATCACTGGAGAAACAACAGATTATTCAAAAAATACGTTCAGATATTTCATATTAAAAATGGGAAGAGGAAAAACTAATGGGTGAAGGGCGAACCTCAATCAATAACAATGTATCTAACTGGTGATAAATGTACCATATGAATGTGAAATGCTAGCACTGAGGGTCACAGATTGGGATTGTGAAATTTTGCATTGTCTTCACAATTTTTCTGCAAATCCAAAACTGTTCTAAAGTATAGAACAATAAGCAAACCAAAAGAATTTAAAAACATGGTTGACTACCTTGGGCTCATAGATTCAAATTGTAGATAAAGGTCTCTGGAATGAGATTCAGCTAAATGGTCAACTCCCTGGAAGATTCCTGATTTATTCAACAACATATCCACAGTTACTCTTGCATTCTTCTTACAATTCTGAGCTACCTAAAAAACCCGGTTTGCTTGCTTTCTTGCTTCACTCATCACCTGAAGTTGGAAGTGAAGTCCATGAACCAGGGGCTTTTCAGACTAGCTGTTAATCTTGGGCTTTGAACTATGCCCGGCATTTAGGGGGAAGATTAAGCTACACATTTACTGCCAAAATATTTCATTATACATTAGTGAGATAAATGAACTTTATAATCATCTGGAGTCACAAGATTATATACAATCCATTTCATCAGTGAACATTTCCCCCCAGCAAGAGCTTGCACACCCAAGCATACTGACACCCAATTGTGTGTTTGTAGATGTGGCATGTCAAATCTGCGATAGCTTAGGGTCTGTATTTTATAAATGAAATGTGTAAAGGAGAATTCACTGATGTTAATGCCTTTGATTTTAGATGAAGTGATACATTTAAATTAACTGGAAGATCTATGGAGCTAGTATATTCCTAACCAAGAATTAAAGAGGAAAGGACAGCAAATTCGTATTTGTTGTTTACATTTCAGTGTCCATATCAGTACCCTATCAACAAAGAGCAGATGGGATGAGTCTTATAGGATGACACTACACCAACTCTCTAAGCTTAGTTTGGAGATTCCTTCCCTGTGCCTCCTGGTAGTGAAAAGTATAATTTAAATACTTTACAACCTATTTGTAAAATAATTGTAAGATAAAATACACAAATATAAATATTTGTAAAATAAAGTAACTTACAACCTATATTATGACTCAAAATTGTGCTATATACTTAAAAGTATAAAATATATTTTAGAAGCATCAAATTTCCTTAGTTAAATTGTGAAATGAGTTCCCTAACCTTAGATTGATTTACTTTCCACTGAACAGATCATATAGATTCTCTTTCGGGGCACAACTAAGAAACAAGAAAACCAATTAGGTGTCTGAAGCCAGCCTGGGCAACATAGTGAGACTGATGTCAAGCAGACAGACAAACAGCAACCTCTATGACTTGAAGAATCTTTGGACACAGTGCAAGGTCTTAGGATTTAAAGTCTCCATATATTGACCCAAATCTGCCTCTCTGTTCCTCACTTACTTATAAATTATGCTATCGGTAAATGTAGCTGGTCTCCACTCTCCACACATTACTATATACAAAATTCTAGCATACTAGTTTTATTTAGTACAGCATATATGATTCATTTTATTACCATTTTAACTTAAAATTCAGATGCAATGCCTTGAGTGGTAGATCAGCTAACAAATTTTTCTCTAATTCTCCTTTTTTTTCATTTCCCAATTTTCAGAGCGAAAAGTGTGACAAAGTAGAGAAAAAAAACATTTTTAAGTCTCACACAAAAATTGCTGAGCTCATCTTTTTTATATTTTTTCATTTTACCTGCATCATGCATATTATATATGCAAAAACTAGAGACACCCTACAAATATGTTTGTATGTGTGTTTTTTACATAATGTGCAAACATCTTCCCATACTGATAAATATTTATTAACATGGCAGTTTGAATGCCTTAATATTTACTTACCGAATCTCCTTTTTAATATAACAAGATTTATAGTTTTAACTGAAAACAACACTGTTGTGAACATCCTTCTACATACATCTTTACATATGTGTAGAAATATGACCTTAAGAAAAATAACCTCATATAGAACTGTTGGTTGAACATATCTGAACATTTCAATAATACCTGAAACAATGTGTTTTTTTCTCTATAGGAAGACTGCACAAATTTAATAGCCACTCACAGGTGAAAAATCGCCCATTTATTCCTTGCCAACACTGGATATTAACTCTAAAATTTAATTTGCTTATGGAAAGAAGAAAATAACCTCTTGTAGCTATTTTAATTTCGGCACAGCTATTTAGACAAGTCAATATCATGAGCGCTCTAATTATAAGGGACAAGACCTGCATCAGATCCTTAGCTCTTTTCATACTTAAACCGAGACTTTAATTAACCCTACTAGAAAGGAAGCCTTATTTTCTAAAATCAAACAACAAAACCAAGCCATGAATTGGTGACTGGCCTCCCAGCCAAACTCATTTCAATGAAGCCAGCATGGAGCCCTTCTCAGTCTTTCTCTGCCTTCTAACGCCTTTGTGCTTCTTGTACTACATGAGTCTCATCTGCGGAACTTGCTCGGTTGGAAGGAGATTGTGATTAAAAGAAAACTTGACCTCTCTGCCTCGATTGGCAGTGTACCTTTCCCGACGACGTCTCCCTATCTGTTCTAACGATCTGCTCTTAGTAGGTAGGAGAGGGCAAGGCTAAGCCACGCCACTGTGGGACTCAAGGAGCAGGATCTGTCAATATAATTGGCACCCTGTCTGTCAGAGGATCTCTTAGGAACTGACAAGCGAGAGACACATAATTACCAGGCATGATTTTCTCTTTGAACGGAAAAGAGAACTTAATAACGTCCACAGGATGCATAGACAAAAGCAGCTCTTCTGGTGCCCTCTGAGTGTTCTCAGAGGTGCCACTCGCCACTCCGCGTGTCCTGTAGTAATGTGTGACCCCTCCACCAAAGGTGAATGATTTATTGTGTTTGCGAGTTGCCATGAGGGAGAGTTGTCAGCTGAGTGTCAGTCTGAAGTCTAACCTTGGGGAAGTTACCTGTGTCCCCTGACTTTCTCTCTCATCCCTGTGTTTCCTGGTATCTTTACATTCCACTTCATTGCTGAACTTCCTGAAACTCTAAAATGGGGAAAGCAAAACTGGAATGTTCATTCCAGGGTAAAGATAGGCATTGACACATCTTGGCAGTGCTCATTACACTAAAGAGAGAGAGGGCGGGAGGAGAAAACTTTATTGAAACGAGCAAAGAATTGGAAGTAGAAATGTAAAGAGGGTTACATCAATAAAATGTGAAGCCAGGTCTAAGTTATACTTCCAAACTGGGGGAGGCTGGAAAAGTTACTTCTGTTTACAAGGCAATTTCCCCATTTGTGAAAAGGATTGATAACAAACTAAGTAAGATCATTACACTAAAGAGAGAGAGGGCGGGAGGAGAAAACTTTATTGAAACGAGCAAAGAATTGGAAGTAGAAATGTAAAGAGGGTTACATCAATAAAATGTGAAGCCAGGTCTAAGTTATACTTCCAAACTGGGGGAGGCTGGAAAAGTTACTTCTGTTTACAAGGCAATTTCCCCATTTGTGAAAAGGATTGATAACAAAGACTAAGAAATCAGACAGAGTGGGGAAAAGCCTGGATTTGACAGTCTATATTCCCATGATGTAGATTGTCCTGGGCTTCTGATGGTTTACTGTGCTTTTGCATTAGTATTATTTTTCCATAGGCTATACATGCATATGGAACAAAAACCTAAAAGAGTACAAAGGTAAAAGTGCATAGTGAAAATGATCTCCTGCAGTCCCAAGTCCTGGACATTTGGTTTCTGTCTTCTGATTTAATAAATCTTATCACTGTATTTCATATTATTCTGGAGGTATTGAATATAGATAGATGATAGATAATTAACATATATGTAGAATTAATTCTGAACATACATGGGCATACATAAACATATATTTACTCTTTTCATCCCGTATTATACAAATACTAGGACATAAATCTACCAATTTGCACGTAACTGTTTAAATAACTAACATGGAAATCTGTGTATCATACCACAGACTTCTTGTTTCTCTCTCTTTCAATGAATATTTAGATTTTTCTCTAATGGTTTGTTACTTTAAAAAGAAAGCTCAGTATAAATATCTACGATACTTTGATAGTCATGGTTAATCGTTCCTTGACTCATGGCGAGGGCTGAAACCAATTAGTACCCACGGAATTCTTCCCGTAAGAAATAATGAAGATCCAGACAATTCATGGAAGTCTCCCAGAGCGTTCGCCCGTTACTGGGCTAACCTGGCCTTTTACTGGGTGGATACAAGTCTTCGGGGCTCAGTGGCATCACTCTTAATCTTTGTGTGACCCATGGTTAGCATTAGAAATGCATAAAATGAGAAGATATTAGCGACGAGTGTGTGGGTTCGTGCAGTGTTTGCGAGATTCCTTGAGAGCAGACGGGCCTGGGCCTCGTTTCTCCCTGGCAGAGGGTCACCGCGAGGGGAGAGAGTGATCTGCCAGGGGTTGCGGTGATTCCTAGATAGTTCTCAGAAGTGTCGAGGGCTGAAACGTTTTTTTTCTCTTCCTCGTGCAACCAGTACTGGTTTTAATGAGACTAGAGATATGCATATCTTTAAAACAAATTCTTAAAGATAAAATACCGATTTAAAGAGCATTTTTTTTAACTCAGGTGCGCACCACTGAGCTACATACCCTGCCCTAAGTTTGCTATTTTGAGAGCTATTTTTAAACTGCACTCCCCTAGAGGTGATGGAATTTTATTCCTCTCAAAACGTCCAGGAGTTCCGCTATCCTCGCACCCAACCCCTTGCCAGCGGGTGTATGCGCGCTGCCTGACCGGTAAGTGAAATCAATGTCTCGGTAAAATTTTGGTTTATGTTTCTCATGTTCTGAGTGAGCCTGGACATTTTTTCATACAATTTTGCAATTTATACTTATTTCCTATGGACCATCTTTTCATGCATTTTTGGCAATTCTTTTCTGTATTGCAAATATCAAATCTCAGAAAGATTATTTGTAAAGATTTTTTTCATTTGTCTTCTGACTCGTTTATTGGAGATTTCTAGGTAAATGTTAATCAGAAGGATGACTACAATGGTATAATTGTGTTTATAAATTTTTTCTTTATGTTTTGGGGTTTTTCCCATGTATAAATTTTCACATACACAATTTTTATATACAGATATATTTCACATATATGAAATACCCATAAATTTGTGTATGTCTGTATATCTATATAGATATGTTGTCCATCAATCTCCAAAAATATTGATTTTTTAATCTTAAATCTATGATCTGTATATACCTTTTTCTGTATGTTTTAAGCTCGGAACCCAATTATTTTATTTTATTTTATTCTTTCAGTCAACCAGTATATTACTCAATGAAAGCTGATGAATCCTAAGAATCATTTCCCATTCAATACCAATACACATGATTTGAATTTGAAAATGTATGTGAGATAAAAAATAAACAAGAAGCCTGGTGTGGTGGTGCATGCCTGTAATCCCAGTACTCGGGAGGCTGAGGCAGGAGGATTGCTGTGAGTTCGAGACCAGCCTGGGCTACGTAGTGAGTTCCAGTTCAGTCTCAACTACATAGTGAGACCCTGTCTCAAAAACAAAAACAAAAATAAACAAGCAATTGGCTCAGGATCCAGAGCCCTGAACCTAGACCTAGTTCTAGCTCTGATTTGGTTGATTTAACCAGGTGATTTTGTCTTTCTACATCCGGCTTCAACCTTCTTCCAATATATTCTTTATTCTATACTGATTCCCAATCGATCTTTGCAGAAAAGAAATATGACTATTTTCTTTTTAAAACTTATGGAGGGTTCCTCAATGTATATGGGATAAAATCTTGTTTTAAAATGTTATATTTTTTCTACCATCCCTTAGCCTACTTCTGTAATATGCATTTGTCAGCTTAAATTTTAGCAAAATTAATTATATGCATATCTCTCCAAAAACATATGACCCACGTAGGGAAGGACCAAAGCCTCCCCCTGAATTTTTTAGTAAGCAGAAAGTAAATGCTAAAATATACTTTATTGAAGTGAAGTTAGTTCTCCTGTAAACACCTCTTCTAGTGCCCTTTGTATCTTTCAGCAAGCCCTTCTGCACAGCAGGTACAATACCTGCAGAAAGAGTCCAGTGACCATGTGTGCCCCCTACCCAATCTTAGAAGGAAGACTATTGAGTTTATATTTATAACCTGTAGTAGTAAAGTGACCCCTAAACTTTGCAGAGATTCCATAAACAGAGATTTAAAACAAAATATTTAAAAGGAAAAGTTTAAACTTTCAAAATCTCATAATCATACATACATCTCTCAGTTTCTTAGAACTGTACAACATTAGTGAAAAGAATCACATCTCAGATGGGATAGATATTCAAATATCCTCAAATAGAGGTTAACAGTAGCTTAATGTTTGCTGAACCAATAGAAGCTAAATAACCATGGAAACACAGCAACTACAAATCAGATGTTCTGAACTTGAAGTCTGAATTTAACTTTTAAGATTGCTACTTTCAAGCTATCTCAGAATGATATATTTTGCATGCAGTTCGCCCAGGTATCTTTTTTCTTTTCAGATAAGGAGGTGGGAATGTTAAAGTTTTTTCCCCCTTTATTCATGAACAGTTTAAACTGAATGACACGATATCACAGAAACCCTTTGGTCTAGGACAGATGGCCACATGGTCCTGCCAGCACACTTGAGAGCGTGTTCTATTGCCAAGGAACACAGGCTGCAGGGGAATCCATGATCTGTGATTCTGGGCATGCCTGCCCGAGGGACTGTCCTCTTGTGAGTCTGTCTGGGTTTCCACACCATCACAGTTAGTGAATAATTACACTATTCATCAAATTCACTTGGTATTCACTGCCTCCTAGTACGAAGAAAATGCTCCCATGATTGAACTGATACACTGTGCTTATTTCAATTGCCATTTGGCATCCTGTTTGACTGACATATGCAGGAAAACCACAAGGCCAGAGGGGTTCTGAGCAGCCTTGATTCTTGCCATAGCATAAATATTAAGCCAAATCACAGAACCTCTGGAGGGAAAAGGAGAGGTGGAAGAGAAAATGTACAACATCATTGCATCACCGTTCAAAATTACAGCTGATCCTGTACTTTTAAAACAGTTCTGAGCTTCAGTTTCTAGAATTTAAAATTTCATTTTTTATCACTGCATTCCTCCCCTAGTTAAATATCATCACTGAATTACAATTGCAAATAGAATGAAATGCAAAACCCTCACCATCACGACATTTTCATAAATGATGTGAACTCCCATTGAACTCTTATTCCCCTGGTTTTTTGAACTGCAGAGCCACTGGTTATCATTCTTTTTCTGGAATTTTTACCAGTTGTTAGTGATCCTTCTGCTCCCAGCATCTGCGCTTGGCCCTTCCTTTGATATTTTCTCATAATTCAGGACTCAATTCAAATTGAATTTTATTTTTCTTTGGTTACTCTGTCTAAAAGAGATGATTTCCTCATCTCTTTTCCATACTTCATGACTGAAATGGCACTGACACCCTCTCTCTCTTTCACACACACACACACACACACACACACACACACACACACACACACACACACGATCCACAGAAGCAAGAACATTTTTGGTCTTATCCTTCTTTTCATAGCATCAAAAGGCACCCAATGAGTACTCAGTTCCTATTAAATCAGTGAAGTCTGTTGCACGAGTGTTAGGGTTTAGATCTAAAAGAACCCCTAAAAGTTCCATATTCAGAACTGGGGCCTAGTTGGAAGGGGCCTTCCTGGTGGTGTCACTCACAAGGTTCACCCTCCACCCAGCTGATTCTTCTTTCTCTACTTCCTGGCTGCTCTTACATGAGCAGCCTTCCTCCGCCATCTGTTACCTTAGAGTTGACCAAGCACGGACTTAATCCACTGAAACTGTGAGCCAAAATAAACCTGTCCTTCTTTATGGAAATATCAAGTCAGACACTGCATCCCAACAACAAGAAAGCTAATACAACCAGGAACCGAGCATGTTAATATGCTTCTTAAATACTGCTGTCTAATAAGTGGAACTGGCAAGTGCAGAATAATGATGTGTTTGAAAAGGTGAGAAGAGATACATAATGGAGCACAGATCCTACTGCTTAGGACCAGACGAACCATTGCACCACTGCCAAGGAACTCTCCTTCCTCTTTCATCGGCTCCAGGGCTCCCTACTGGAAAGCCTATAAACAGAAGAAAATTATGAAACACAAAGTACAAAAATTAAAATATAAAACTTAATTTTAAAATAATTGAGAATGTTAGAAGGTCAGCTCTAAAAAAGGCTATATAAAAAAACAATACTTTCAAATATCCAGACATATTCCTATTCTAATAATGATCACACTGTGTTCATATTGTGGGATATTTCAGAACATAACCACTGTCTTGTTCTTGGGATGAAAACAGAGCTCTGATCCTCCCACTAATGTTTTCAGCTTCCATGACTTCAGAAGTGGATTTGTTTTTTCAAATTAAATGTAGCAGGCCAGTGAGCATTTAATGCAGTCCTGTAGCTGTCAGAAAGAAAATAGAAATGGACATGTTATTAATGCCTGAAAATTAGTTCACTCTGTCTGCTTGAGAAACGCTTCTCCCAATTCAAATATTCAAATCCACATTTCTACTGGGGTGGCAGACCATAGGCTGACTGCTGGGAATGTGGGGAGGCATCCACGAGCAGCCACTGAGGGAGCAGGAGCCTCGCTGCTCTCGGTGGCGCTGGATAATTCCTCTCCAGAGCAGCGATGGCTACTTCATACAGCACAGCTCCTGTCACTCTTCCTCTTCCTCAGATAGTTAAGCATGGATAACAACTTCCCAGTATGCTCATAGGTAAGGACACTTAATCCAGTGGCGGAATAAATCACCAAAAGGGTGCTAACTGAAAAATCAGGAAACATGTGCTCGCATGTGGCTCTACTCACTGTTAGATGAGTGGTCTGGGGCAAGTCCCTTAATGTCTCTAAAAAACAATCTGTGCTGCAGATATGAAGAGTCATCCAAGAACATGGTGAATTTTTAAAAATTAAATACAGTAAAAGACACATTACCACTAATTTCCCTTAGAAAAATTCCTCTGGCTTGGAGACAACACCTCACCATTCCTGCCTTTTCTGAAACAGTTCTGAAGTCCTCTTACATGACATTCTATAGTTGGGTTGTTGGAGCTGCCTTGAGGTCCTCAGTTGATTCAGAATATTTACTTTTCACAGCCATTTTAAAGAGCTTAGAGGAAGAGCCGGAGGTCACCTGGTGCCACCTCTGGTGAATAAGGAGGATGAGAACTCACCAAATTGTTTCTATTTGACAGAATTTTAGTCAATTCAGGATATCAAGGCAGCCACAAAAGGACACAAGAAGAGTTCCAGAACTGCTTCGCCAAGTGGCAAGAATGATAGGGTGAATGTATTTGAAGTAAAGGTAAGCATTTTGAGGGGAATTGATGGTAGTGGGTTTTTACTGTAGTTTTGTTATTTATATATTTACCATACTTTGATAGCACCTTGTATGTCATGAAAAGTCCCCAAGGAAATTAAATAAAACTAAAGGAAATATTAACATTCCATTTAATTCATTGATTTTTTGATACAAGCCCAACCCTCTTTCTGTCTTTCCATTCTTTCCTCAAAGGCAAATTTCTGTGTAATATAAAATTCAGGATTTTTAAAAATAAGAGAAAAATCAATAAAATTTCATGAGTTTTTGTCAAGTAGTAAGGGCTGTACTGCCTACAATTGAAAGTTATCTGCTTGTACCCAAGTAGAAAATAAATGTTGCATCTTAAAATCATAGTCATTTTTTGCTTTTTTCTCCCCGCTTGTGTTGTCACATAGGACATTCAAAATGAGTAAAAATGTAGATTTTTCTTTTTCCAAATGTGTGACAGTATTTATTCTGGTCACGCCTGCAATGTGAGGGCACAGGAAAGGGTGACTATAATGAACTAGCAAATGGACTCTTGTAGCGCACTGAACTTCCAGGTGCCCTGATCTTGGACTGCTCAGCTTAAGGAACTGTGAAGAATTAGTTTGTCTTATTCATAAGCAATAAATTATCTTTTAATCCTATATGTACTTTTGCCATCACATTATTTCAGCAAATACTCAAACAACACGACTATATGCACTATAGTCAACCTACGTAACAGTTTAGAGATTAGAAGTTCCCTCTTGAGAAGACCCTACATAGTGATAAAAATTACATAGATAAGTTGCTGTATTGCCTAAGGTACACATTATAAATAAAGATGAAAAAGGTAATGCTGAAGCACCTTAGGGCAAGTAAATTCAGCTAGATATAAGCAGAAAGGAAAATTTAGAAAAGGATCATGAGATGAACCACTTTGGAGTGAGGGCTAGAAGATGGAAATCTGAATAAAGCTCAGAAGAAAGGCAAAAAACTTTATATATATATTTTTTGAGTCCTCAATTTTGTTATTGCTCCTAGTATAGGTGAGGTTGTTCAGGGTGATTGTGTATACAGAGAACACACCCAAGACTAGAGTGTTTATCAGTGTATTAAGTTAAGGTTCTCTAAAGGAACAAAATCAATAGAAAACTATATGTACAATTATCCAAGGGCCTTTACTAAGTAGGCCTACAAGAAAAGACTGGAGAATCCATAATGGCTGTCTGCATTCTGGAGTGCTGGAGGGTTGTTCTGCCCAAGAAGATGAGGCCACACCTAGAGAGATCAGGAATGTAGGGCCAAGGTCAAAGGCTGAGACTCTCACTAGAGTCACCTGTGTGAGTCTGCTTTGGAAAGCTGAAAAAATAGAAACCTGGAGACAAATGTCCCTGGGCGACATCCACAAAGGGTGGACTCGCTGAGGCAGACTAGAGCTCTCCATAACGGGCATAGTTCCCTCTTCTTTCTCTTTTTTATTCCATCCATGGTACAGGTCTGTTGGTTGGTGCCACTCACAACTGGGATGGGTCTTCCCTCAGTTTTCTAGCCTTCCTGTCCATCAGCCACAGACACAGAACCGCTCATTGTGAACCTGCTAGATGTGTCTTTTTCTTTGTTTGTTTTTGGATACCAGGGATCAAACTTCAGACCTTGTGTGGCGAGGCAGGCAGCAGAACCACTAAGCTAAATCCCCATACCCATGCTAGGTTGTCTTACTGCATCACAATAGGGCCAACTTTGATATGATAACCCACAACCCTAGTCTTATTAACTTTGAGAAACAGGCACTTATTTCCTCCTCACTCACTTTGTAGGAAAATCTATAGTTGGCCCAATTCTGCTGGTCACTTCTCAGGCGGGCTAGGCTCAACTGACTCCATGGATGTTTTTATTCCAGAATCCAGAGGGAAACAGATTCATAATCTCAGAAAGGTTTTTCTTTTGGTGGAGGTAGGAGCAATAGAGACACTGTGAAATCACACAACACAATTAAGTCTTTTGTTAGTATGTGGCAAATGTCATAACCCATTGACCAAGACATGCCGTACAATCACACTCTCTGGCAGAAATGACTGGGAACAAAGGAACAGGTGAATCAAATGTAATGGAGAGAAACAGTAATAGTGGATGAAAGATCACCTGTGTGTTTTTCTCTCAAGAAAGTATCTGTTTTTCTCTCTTTGGCCTTCTCTCCCCACTTCAGTTATATTCTGACTTATGTCAGAGTTTTCACAATACTGAGTGAGAGAAAAAGAGAGCATATCTGCTTCATTCTTTCCAGAGGTGGAAGTCTCCACTGAATTTTAATTTGTTATTCTCATTTTATCTTCTAATGCATTTATTTATCTTCTCTAGTTGTTAATGCCTCTTCGATTGTGGCATCTTTTCATCTACTTTATCTTTCTGTATTTTTAGGCTCTTCTCTCCAGCTCCTGGAACCCTAATCCCTAAGTTAGTTGTACCTGCTTATTTCCTTCTCCTATGGTTCATTTCCTCTTGTGGCTTGTTTTATGAATGAATATTTATTTTCAACTTGCACCTTTTCTCTTGTATTATAGAAGCCCTAAAGAGCAGTTTTCTTTTGCTTCTACCGGGTACCTCTGAGGATTCATTTGTCCTGGATCATTGTTTACATTTTAATTTATTAGCTTAGAATTCATACCTGGATATAGCATCAGCTTTGAGTTTCAGTGCTGAAGTGGAGATTTTCTTTTCTTACCCAAAGCATGAAGGCGAAGGACCCTTCCTTGTAAATCCACAGGATGTGTGATGTTTTCTTGTCCACCAGACAAACAAGGTAGCTCTTAGGGGCTCTAGCTTTTTGCTGCTGTCTCAATTTCAGCCGTCACTCATGCTACAGTTTTCTACTGCACTTCTCTTTGCCAGCCACATCTTTGGTTCTGAGTGGATTTTAAATTCTCAAAATTTCTCCAATATGGATTTCGTCTACTTAGTACATGTTAGTCTGAGAATAAATTATTTTGGATTCTTCAGGATTGTGACCATGTAAAATGAAGCCACCAAGTAAAGGTGAGCAAGAACTAATGGCTCAAGTTTTGTCCAAATCAGAAATCTTAAGAAACAGTTTAACTTTTCATCTAGGACTATAAACATCCAGGCCTGTGCCCTGTCTGACACGTTCTAACCTCACACACACACAGATCAGGGAAAACCAGGGCTCAATGAATCAAATGGCGAGAGACCATGCCAGGATTTCCTTCCTCCCTTATTTCTACTCCATGCTAAGTCTTGCTTATGCTTGCTTGACGAAAAGATTATTTCTCCATTTTCCCTTTAAATAAGCTACAAGAAAAAAATAATCTAGATGTTTCTATGTGGCAAGGTGTTGGAAGGCAGCATCAACAGCAGTCCAGACAGCAGCCTCCCCTTGGACGTCCTTCTGCTGGATCAGCCAGAGAACCACCTCTGAAAGACAGTGGTATTCAGACCTCAGCAATCTGGATCCACACCTTGTGTTTGCAATTGCTAACTTATACTGTTAAAATGTGTTATTCTGTGAGAGTGACACTATGCCAGCTAATGGTGCGACTGACTTAGAACAGAAAAATCAGGTGGTGTTCGGAAGGTCTGCTTTCTCATTAGTGAGTTGAAAATCTATATGATCCCTCCAAATACATAGGAATATATACAGAGTTAACAACAACACATAAAGCTAAACATTGCCATGCCCACAGTGAAACTGCACCGCTTATGTGTAAAAAGCCTACTTGGAATAACAGATAAGACCTACTTCTTTGGGAATGAGGCCAAGATTTAGAATTATAAACACTCTTCTCCAAAAAGACTCCAGTAATGCGGAATCTGGATTTATAGTATCCTCAGATTCGTGCTTGTCTTTGAAGTTCATCTTTTAGGACAACCAACACATTTGGGTCCCATGGGCTAAGGTCAAAGCATTTTTTGATTCTCACCCTGAAAGGATTTGGCTTCTATTTCCAGAGAAACCTGCCTTCAGAGTTTTCATGGGATGCAAGGATCGATGGAGTAGAAAATGAAACAAAAATGTCATGCAGAAAGAAATACACTAGCGTTTGCATTTTAAAATTTACCTCACTGAATGAAGTTTGGACACTTTATATTTTACATCACTTTCGCATAATCCAAAATTACTGGTGACCCAACATGCATCTGAGGACAAATATATGAAGTTGATATTTCCCCTCTTGTTCCTCTTATGGTATTCAGTTGTTGAATCCCTCCCTAGAGAAATTTCCAAAAGCACCTCATTAGAATGATGGCTACATGCTGTACTCTCCTAGGGCAGGGACAGTTCAGTGCTTTTCCCACAAGTGAAGCTAAGTTTAGAAGAGCATGCGTTATGCACACCTGGACCTGTGACTTCGTAGTAGGCGTTGCATCATCCCTTCTGATGAGTGAGGGGAAGTTGGGTTTAGCTCTGGCTCTTTGACCTATAGGATCACAGGAAAAAATCATTTATGTTATGCTCCAGTGTACTTATCCATAAAAAATAAGGAATAATGCTGATTTTGAAGGATGCCGATAAAATACTGTATGTAAAAGTACCAGCACAGTGTTTGCCTAAGGTAATCATTTAACTAAATGCTAGTTTCAGAGCTGACATTTAAACCCAATGTCAAGTTTCACATCAGCCTATGATTGCAGAGAAAACATCCTCCCTATGCCTAAATATATCCATTGATAAATAATTTTTGAAAGGTATCACCTAGTCTGAATGTAATATTATGTGTAAACATTCTTAACATATAAATCATACTATAAATGGAGAAAAGATAATAGTGATTCTGATGATAATTGTAAAAATTTGATGGGAAGTTGTTAGGATTTTTCAGCCAGCACGCTGAAATGTCCCTGTGAAGAATATCCTTATTATTATCATTAATAAAAAAAAAAAAGTCCAAGCCAGGTCCCATCCCTAAATAAGGACAAAGAGGTAGAAACTGTCACTATAAACACGGGTGGACTTACTTGTACCCATGCAGAACAGACATCTCCTGTTTGCTTGCTGTTCCCACTGTGCTGACTCTGCACCCACAAGAGCTCCAGCACCCAAACTTCTCACCACACTGTCAAGACCTTCTACCACACAAAGCCAGAGTTGCCCTTGAGCTGAAGCTAACTGGTGAATTTCTAGATGTAATATAATTGGAGACATCATGGCTCTTTGGTGGATTGTGAACAGTAGAAGCAGAAAATCCCAAAATACACTACACGGGCTGCAGAATGAACTGGACAGAAGGCAGTGACACTGGATTTGGAGTTTACAGGTGTTTCAGTGAGGGGACACAGGAGAGAATGAGAGACATAAAAGGATCCCTCTTTCTGACTAACACTTAACAGGTAACAATGCAATCCAAATATCCGTCCTGCTTTAGATGTCCTGTGATCGACAATTGCAGAATCTTGATCTCCTCACCCCTTGTAAGATTTGTTTTCTTTCCCAGCCTCTGATTTCTCATTTGTGAGATGATAAATGTTTCACTGCCGAATCTCTGGGGGAAGATAAAAATCTCTGAATAACAGTGGCCAATCTCTATGACGTAAATACATTCACAGAGGTCAATTTCAAACCATGAGGCAGAGTCGGGAAGAGAGGCACGATAACACATTATATTGAGTTTTGACTTTACACAAACAATACACTTAATTAACCTTGAGTATATATAATAGTACAACAAAATGGAGCAATGAGTTTGAGTTTTGATTGCCATTTCAATATACTTCATTTTACTGATTTAACTTTTAATAATGTCTTTATTTTATAGTCAGCTTTCAAAATTCCTAAAAATGTAACAATCAGCTCCTGCTAGCTGGAGTGAGCCAGCTCCAGCACTCCACTGATTGCACCATCTTACAAGGCTCATTTGAGAGTTATAGTGCTAGTTTTTTTTTTATTTAAATCTCAAGGAAACCACATTCAAAGCTATTACTTTATATCTTTTCAATTTAGCCATCCTAACAACCTCAACAGTAACTTAGTGCTAAAGAAGTTGCTGCTCCTCAGGGGTCCATGGCATGGCCGTTATGGCTCCATCTAGAAGCCTGCGTCTTGTAAGAAATTGTGCATGAACTTTGGCAGCTGCTAGGTAGCTGCGACGTGTGACAGTCACCACGCTGGTGCGTGTTACATCAGGAGCCAACTCCTCAGGAGGAGGAAGAAGCCACAGGGTCCACACCTAAGCTCCTCTCTCTGATACATCCTGTGCCTCTGGCCTTAGGGGGAGATTGAAGTGGAGGCAAGAGAGCTGCATGTTCTGAGGTCTAGCTTGTTACAGAAAGCTCTGAAATCGTTGTTTGTGGTTGTCTCTCCTATCAAATCTACAGAGGCTTCTGTGTTCTCCCTCACACAGTAAGTTAAAACACATATTATCACATGAAAAAGAGGAAGGTAAGGAATGGACCAGAGAAATAATTTGTAGCCAGAAGGAATAAGTAAAAAGGTGCTAGAGGAGGCGGGTGAGGAGGAGGGAAGAGGAAGAAGGGAGAGAGTTTTCATTTAGTTTCTATCCTGAGGCTAAAACCTGATCCAGCTTATTAAATGAAAGAGCCTATTTCCAGGTTTCTAGGAAATTCTCCTCTAGCCAAACTGCTATATCTTACACAGGCAGTGCCTTTTTGTCTGAATGAAAAAATAAGTAATAACAGAGAACCAAAGGTGGGAAAGAGTGAAAGATGTTCCACTAATCTAAGACAGCCTTTTCCTCCTTTTGCTAATAATACCAAGAAGATCTTTCATGGAGAAGGCAGAGGCTCAAGGCCAACCTTACAATTTTTATTTCTTCAATCATAAACTAAGCATTTTAAGACAAAAGGCAAACACAAGGAAAAATTGTCTCAGTAAATTTTTAACAGGCTATGTTGAGTGTTACTGTCACTGCTTTTTCTTGCCTTTCAAAGACTTTCCCAAATCTGAAACTAAATGAATGAACTGGAGCTGCTTGATTCAAGCAGCTAAAAAGCAGACGGAAGAGACTCCGAAGGACAACCAGAGCGAACAGGGTTCTGTTACTCCCAGCAGAAATTTTGCAGAATCAAGTATAAAGGTTAGACAGGGAAGATAGGAAAGACTAAAAAGCAAGTGGACCAAAAGCAAAAGGTTTAGAAATGGGAAAAAAGAAAACAGGTCAAGATGGTGGTGGTGGTGGTGGTGTGTGTGTGTTTGTGTGTGTGTGTCCACATGCACATAAATACGTGTGCACTCAAAATGTACTAGTTCAAGTCTCACTGAGGACTGGATGATTAATAGAGTTTTCTTGTAGATAATATAAGAGGGAGAGGTTTCTTCATGCCTGTAAATAAAGAAACCAATCCAAGTTGCTCATGTGTCATTATGATTTAAATAGAACTCAACACAACAAAGAATTATGGAAAAAAATATGGCAGAAATACAGTTTGCTGTATCCTTCATTATTCTGAGATGTACCTCCGAGAATGTCCTTCTGCCTTTAAAATGTGTTTTCTTTCAAAACATTAAAAAAATCATTTGATAACAAACTCCACAAACATGCAGAGAACGATGGCAAAGCCTATGACTACAACAAGGACTAAATTACAAGGGAGAAATGCAAAACATAATAAAATGGAAGAGATTGTCAAGCACGTTAAAGGTACAGTATCTCCATCTACTGTAGGGTTGGAGGATTGAAACCTCCAGTGCCTTAATGTTCTGTCCCTTTTCTCAGAATGTAAATTTCTTCTTTTCCTTAAGCGAATCCCTCAGAAAAAGGATGAGCTTGTTTATGCTTCAAGGAGCCCACATGCTTTTCCTTCATTCGTGAAGAGACGTCACAAACAAAAGCAAGCCACTGTTTCTGACCCCTTCTACCTGCCAGCGGATTTCTAAGCAATGTTCCCTTCTGCTTCTTCCATACTTTTTCCCTTTAAATTATCCTGCTTTTACTTTCTCTCTAGGCACTTACCATTTGGTCACAGTTAAGCGCGCTGGATAACGTCAGAACATCTTGAGGACAAAGAATCTTTGGATTAGAGCCCGATTTCGGGTTTACCATATAATTTCTTCAAAGGGGAGATGGTAAAAGAGATATGTTTCCTTTAGATCACAGTAAAATGACACCTAATAAATAATCTCTCCAAGGAAATATTTGGTCAATAGCCAGTTGCATTCACTATTATAACACGATACACGCCTGAGCCCTTCCAGCCCTACCTGTGGTTTTGATTTCCACAGTTTCAGTTACCCATAGTCAGCTGCAGTCTGAAAATGTTAAATGAAAAATTCTGGGGAAAAAATTGATAAGTATTCAATTACATACTTTTCTGGGCAGCATGATGAAATCACATTTCACCGGGGATGGGAAGGGCCACTCTGATATGCATATCCACACCATCTACCCGTTAGTTGCTTAGGATGGTTTGGTTATCGGGTAGATCCATGGTCCTGATAGTGCTTGTGTTACAGTAATCCTTATTTTACTTAACAATGGCCCTAAGGAGCAAGAGTGGTAAAGCCAGAAATCCAGATATACCAAAGAGAAGCTCTAAAGTATTTCCTTGAGGTGAAAAAGTGAAAGTACAATAAGATATTTTGCGAGATCATATTCATTTAACTTTTATTATAGTATTTTGCTGTAACTCTTCTGTTTTATTATGAGCTACTATTTTTAGTGTATTATTGTGTCTAATTTATAAATTAAACTTTATCAAAGACATATGTGTGCATGTATATAGGATTCTGAACTATCAACTAGCAATTTCAAGCATTTACTGGGCGTCCTGGGCTATATTCCCTGAAGATAGAGAGGCTACTAAATTTCCTTTAAAACTTTACTTGTTAATGAATGTATAGTTAGATAAATCATCCCTTCCAACACACCATGGATAATTTATGAACTAACCTGAGTCTATACACTTTTTTTTTTTTTTTTGCTCCAACTTTGCTGAGCACACACAATGTCTTTATTGCTGTCCAGGCAAGACTGCAGTATGGTTCCAGCTTGTGGGAATGCACACAGGTCCCAAGGGTCAGCCTCACCAGACTCAGAAGTTGAGTACAGAAAAGTACCTCAAGGGCAGGTTCTCAGACTCATTCTCCTGAGTCTGATGTGCTATTCTTGCAACAAAAATACAACTTTTCAGTACTGCCAAAGGAAAGAAATCTATACATCCAATATGCAGAATAAAGCTAAGGTTTATGGGTAAACCACACTGATGAAGAACATTGTTTAAGCACTCCCATCTCGATGGGTGACTACAGGGAAGGAGACTTATATCTCATAACATTCTGGACTGAGCTAGAGCACTACAGAGAGGAGAAATTAGATGCATTAAAGTGAGTTCAAAGAAGGTTGAGATTTTAAAAGATCCTTGAATGTTGAGTAAACTCACCTGGATTTGCAGCCAAATTCTAGCTCGTGGATGTTAGCTGTCTGATCTTGAGCAGATGATCTCTCCATTCTAAACTTCTCTTTTCTTATTAATACAACAGAAATAATGTTTTCTACTTCATAGAGTTACTCCAAGGAGTGAGATTAACTTGAGAAAAAATTCATAACGTACAAATTACTTTCTTTATTGTTATCAATGACAGAAACACTATTTGAGGAAAAATGATACCTTGATTTTAATTGCTGAAGGTATTCCTTGGTTTAGATAATGGAAGAAAGACTCTATCCCTAGATGACACGGTAGCCCTCCTTAAAAAATTAGTTAATCAGTATAATAGCTAGTTTTTCCTCTACTCCTTGTTTTCTCTACTCTTTTGCCTAATGCCCAGAGTTTCACTATTACCAGAGATCAAAGTTTCAAGCTAATGTTGCGAGGAGTGCAAATTTTTAATCATTTACACTTTAACTTGAGAAGGCTTCAGTTCCTATACCAGAAAAAAGTGAAATAGTGTACTACGGCCCAGAGTCCCACCTAAGGTGCAATGAAAACAAGACATACACACAGGCTTTGAGAAATGTCTTCCTCTGGGCCTAAATCCTTGTCCTAGAGAGTGATCTGAAGCCAGCCACCAGGCACAAGAGATCTTGACCATGATCACTTGCAAAGTCCCACCGAAATGTAGTGGTCGTTCTAACAGCTGAGAAAACTCTTCAAGTAAAGACCTCAGGACTTCTGCCCTGCTTCCTGGTCCTTGATCCCCGATTCCTGATTGACCGGTCTTCTTTGCAACCAGCTAGGAAGTGTGCAGGAATGAGATAAAGTAGGAAGTGCTCAATTAATTCTAAGACAGTGCACAGCAACAGGTTTGGTTAGACCATTGACTTTTGGAGGCATAGCTCTTGCCTCAAATCTCGGCTCAAAAGCTGCTGTGTTACAGTCTCTTCTGCTACGGTGAGGAAGGTTCCATGGGAGGACAGAAGTCTCTGTCAGCAGAATTGTGTGGACAGAGTCAGTGCCCAGCTGAGCTACTGTGAAGGCAAAAGCAAAATCATCACCTTAAAACTATCTTTATTGAAATATTTAATAATTGGTCATCCATGGATTTGGGGGCGGCATGAGTTCAGGGTCTCTGAGTCAGAGAAAACAC